CAAATATACACACATATACCACACAGAGAAAAAAAGAAAAAGAAAAAGGGCCAGGAACTTGGCTCAGTGGCAGAACATGTGCTTAGCTGCCCAAAATAGTAAATCCAATACCTAACCTGGGGTAATGTACATGAAGAGCTGGGTGTTGTAGCAGCATCTATAATCCCAGCACTCAGGAGGCTGAGGCAGGAAGATTGTCATAAGCACAAGGCCAGTCTAAGCTATACAGCAAGTAGCAGGTGAGTCAGGGACATATAGAAAGACTCTATCACAAAAAACAAAACAAATAAACAACCAATAATAATAATAACAACAACAACAACAACAGCAACAGCAACCAAGTACTTACTAAGAAGATAGTAAAGTACAAGGGCTATACAAACTGTTAAGCCATGTTATCCTTATACTAAAGCAGGGACTGTTTCTTTAAACAGAGCAACATTAGGATATAAAATGCAGATAATGTCTCTATTAATCTCCTCCCTTCTTAATGGCCTTCTTTCATCAATATGGTAGTTTTTATGGGAATGTATCTGCTATAAAATCATAATGTATATAAATGTTATATGACTTAGTATGAAAAGGAAAATGATTCAAAGCTTTGGTAATTACCAAAATGCTTCTGACTACAGAAAAATCCTCATTATAGTGCTATACAATGTTTCCTCTAGTCTCTTTTTTATAGCTTTTTAAAAATATTGTATGTGTGTGTATGCACCCACGTGTGTGTTCATGTGCATGTGTGTGCCTGCAGGGACCAGAAGACGGTGCTGGATCCCCTGAGGAGTTACAGGCAATTGTGCACCCCTCTCCCCATTCTGTGTGGGTACAGGGACCTGAACTTAGGTCCTCTGAAAGAGCAGTAAGAAGTCTTAACAGGGAGCCATCTCTCACCCATCTCTCCAGCCCATTCTAGCATCTACAGATTCTAGCATAACAGATTCAAGGACATTTTGACTTTTAGCCAAGAAACTGGCTACATTTCTTTGGGGTCTTTTTACCCTAACTGCCTAGCCAATTCCTACCTCCTATTCTTATCACTCCATCCTCTGAAGAGGTTACCCAAATTATCAATGGGGAATCAGGACTCAGACCACTCTGGCTTCTTCCATCCTGAACAGGATGAGGCAACTGGAGTACCCCTTCAGTGGGTCTATCTAAAAGACTCCCAAATTGCATAACTCTTATCTATAGGGAGAAAAGAAGGTCCTTGACTGGTGAATAGGAGATGTGAAGGAGAAGTAAAGGCATGAGTAGGAGCACTACAAGTTCTAGACAGGGAACCAGAGCAGTCAGAACAGGGAAAATTTCAAATGTTCGTATCAGAGTCCATAGGGATTTCTTGATGAGAGCTTCCAAAAGCATCCCTCTATTGGGTTCCTTCTCATTTTTCTTTTATCTGCCAAGGCTGAGTGATGGACTCAGGATTTGTTTTCAGGCACTGGACAGAACCCCATGCATTCTAACTTCAGTATCTCAATTCTTTTATTTATCTATTTATTTTTGGTCTTTGAGACAGGGTCTCCCATTAGCCCCTGCTGATATGTAGATAGGTTGGCCTAGAAATTGCCTCTGCCCCCAGAGTGCTGGGATTAAAGGCGTGCACCACTACACCCAGTTTGTACCTCAGTTCTTAACCATTATTGCCACAACAAAGGTTACACCACCTCCCCACAGAAGGCTGTCAACTGCAATACTATAGATAAGCAAAATACTGATGACAGTCAAGGTCAAGGATTGGTAAGACAAGTAACAGGTCATCCCATCACACAGAAAAATAAATGGGGCAGAGGCAACACACATACACAGCATTTATAATGTAGTGAGTAAAAATAAGTCACAAAAGCTCTAGCACAATATCACTGTGTCTTGAAAATAATGCCTGCATGTACTTTTCCATGTATATTGTTTATTTGTTCATACTTTTATCTAAAAATACACAAAGAGTTAACAGAAGTGTCTTGGGAAGAGACTAGGAGAATTAAGGAGTAAGGGCAAATAGTAATTTTCACCATTCTGTGCACTACTTTTTTAAAAATATTTTAAATTGGATCCCATGTAGCCCAGGCTGTCCTCAAACTCCTTTTGTAGCAGAGGCTAGTACTGAACTCCTGATCCCCCTGTCTCAGCCATCCGAGTACTAGGAAATGGGATTATAGGCATGAGCCACCATATCTGGCTTATGCTTCCCTTCTCTCCTTCCCTCCCCCCCTTCTTTCTTCTTTCTTTCTTTTTTTATTTTATTTTTTACATAGTCTCACTATGTAGGGTCTGGAAATCACTTTATAAACAAGGCTGGCCTTGAACTCACAGAGATCTGCCTGCCTCTGCCTCCCTAAGTGCTGGGATTAAAGGTGTGTGCCACCAGGCCCGGCTGTACTGGGTGACTTTTAAAATAGCAATTCATTACTTTCATGAAAGAAAAAAAAAACAAACCAAGTCAGGCATGGTGGGTGACATATGCCTATAATCCTGCTACTCAGAAAATGAGCAACTTAATAAAATACATGCATGGAGCCAGGTGCTGTAATCCCAGCACTTAAAAGGTAGAAGTAGGAGGATCAGAAGTTCAAAGTCATCTTCAGTTATATAGTAAATTCCAGACTAGCCTGGGCTACATAAGACCCTGTCTCAAAAGAAGCAAAGAAAAAAGAAAATTTCCCCCAAAAGTTAAGAATGAGCCAATGCCTTTAATCCAGCACTTGAGAAGCAGAGGCAGGAGGATCTCTGATTTCAAGGCCAGCCTGATCTATGTAGTGAGTTCCAGGTCAGCTGGTGCTACAGGGAGACCCTGTCTCAAAAAAACAAAAGAAAAATAAAGTTAAGAATTAAAATATATGTGGTTATGGATGCAACTCAGTGGCACATGACTTATCTCACATGTGCAAGGCTTTGGGTTCAATTCCAAACACTGCCAAAAAAGAAAAGGAAAAAAAGAAAAGATAAAGAGGAAAAAAAAAGGAGAAAGGAAAGAAAAAGAAGAGAAAAGGAGACAGGAGAGAGGAAAAGGAAGGAGAGGGGAGGGGAAGGGCTTCCAGGTGTAGTTCCACATGTTTGCAATCCCAGCATTCAGGAGGTAGAAGGCAGAAAATCAGTAATTCAAGGCTATTCTCAGCTACAGGAGACCACATCTCAAAGAACTGAAAGGGAGAAAAGCACAGTGGCACATGCCTTTAATCCCAGCACTTAGGAGGCAGAGGCAGGAAGATCTCTGTGAATTTAAGGCCAGTCTGGTCTACACATCAAGTTCCAAACCAGCCAGGACCACATAGTGAGATCCTCTCTCAAAAAATAAAATAAAAAACAGAGACATGCACAGATGTTAAGCTATCAGTACCCCTTCCATAGACATAAATAACCTAAGATAAATTAAGTGCATCCTACATATTAAGTGTACAAAGCATCAGTTTGCAAAGCATTTTTAAGTCTACATATGCACACATGCGAACATGGTACCATAATGAAAACTGTACTTTCATGGTCAAAAGAATATTATAGCCACTGCACTAAGCACAGCAGTGAGCAGCTTAGGGCTCTGTCCTGTGCTGCCACATCCCGAGATCAAACCTCACCACAACAAGCCTGGGATCTATCACAAGATCTTTCATCTTTGAAAGTGGCAGAGTCAGCACACTATTTTCAAACTTTAATATAGACACAAACATCCTGTCTTAAAATAATTAAAAAATACTTTCTCCTCTGAAAAGATATCTTCTACTGTCTCTAGATTAAATCCCTATCAATATTAATATATTTTTAGTTAGGACCAGAAATTCTCTTCCCTCAAACTTTTTTCACTCCCAGCTAAACCTCACCTTGATTTTAAGACTAGTTAGTCCAAATGCTCACCTTTTTATAGATGTATTTCTAAACTTTGTATTCTAGCACTCCAGTAAACAATTCCAACAGGTAAGAAACTACAATGTCTTGCCAAAAGTAAGAATTTTATTTGTAGTAACTATGTTTCTAGACTAAAAACATGGTATCAGAATTAGTCTGTTTAAAGCTTTAGGAGGTTTTTTTTTTTTTTCTTTGGTCTTTTTCTTTCTAGACTAAAAACATGGTATCAGAATTAGTCTGTTTAAAGCTTTAGGAGGTTTTTTTTTTTTTCCTTTGGTCTTTTTCAGACAGGGTCTCCTTGTAGCCCTAGCTGTCCTGGAACTCACTATATAGACCAGGCTGGCCTTGAACTCACAAAGATCCGCCTGCCTCTGCCTCCCAAGTGCTGGGATTAAAGGTGCAGCCTTACTCAGCACACTTGAAGCCTATTGGCTCTCAAAATATTCTTAGCAAATCAAATTTGTTTGATACATTACTTTCCCATACTACCTCATACCCTACTACACTATTTAAAATAAACTATAAAATTCCAAGAAATCCTAGCCCTTGAGGGCTACCTAAGGATCAGAGAGTTAGAATTCATTTTTAATTACTTTACTTGGTATCTTGGCCCTTACATTGTGAAGGTAGTAACTGGCACATCATGTATAAATTCAATGAAAGATCATTTAGAAAATCTTTGGTCAATTCCCCTACAGATGACAAAATCCAAATCTAAAGAAGTTAAGTAACTTCCTCAGAGTCACATGCTTTGGACTGAGAATCATGATTCTGGGACTGCTAAAAGTGTTTTATCTGCTTGAAGGATAACTCACAGTTACAAAAGTTAATTATACAAATTGATTATGTTCTCTAGTACTTTTAGTAGCAATTTGAAATATTATTTAGGGCAGTTAGCATTTAGTCTTACTTTACAGAAAAATAAATCTCCCATGTATTGCTTCTTTGTTACCACATCAAAACTAAGGACAGCGTTTATACTAAGTGAATTACTTGGTACTTAAACTGTAAAATGACATTACCTCCAAATATTTAATTTCTACCATTTACTTTGATAAGTTTTCCTACTAATGTAAATGATCTTAATATGAATGATTTCCTAATACAAATGAAAGCTCATAACAAATTTATTAAAAGCCACTTTTCTCTCAGTCTCATACCTGTTGTTCATCCTCCATGACGTTGCTTGCAAATTCAAATACCAGGTCGTTCTGTTGGACAACAGCAGCCATAATAAAGCATTCCTCTTAGATCCACATGAGAAAAAGCCCAAATAGGTTCAAGTATCAAGTAGGAGAGTCCAGCAATCAGTCTAGGCAAAGACTTAGCCAAGTCTGTGAAATTACTATATACCCAAGTTTTCTTCAGAGAAAATGCATCAAATGTTCTTGGTTCATTGATACCCACAGCAAACTGGCAATTTTTTCTGAAATAAGTCTCTGAAGCTTCTGGCCCTGAAAAACAAAAGCCTGAGTTAGTAGTGAGAAAAAACAATCGCCCAGCTAAAATGTAATAGTGACATAGTACAGTACCTCCAAGTGTCATTGTTGTTCTTAAATACATAAAATCAACACAGGGTATTTTTTAAACAAACTTTCTTTGAAGAGTTCATTCCTAAGATAAAATCTCCCTTCACTGCTAAAAACGAAAGCTTTTTCTATCTTCCCTCAGTTAAACTTTAAAGTACTGAATAGAAAAAAAAAAGTCCAGCAATAGTTATGAGGTTTATAACCCCAGTAGAGATATAAAACATTTCCTTCTTTCCACTAATCTAGTAAACCACCTTCATAGGAAACACTATTCTATAAATAATTTCATAATGGACATTTGCCTTTAGTAAAAATATTCAAGCAGCATCCCTAGCCCAATATATATAATTTTTAATGACTAAAACAGTTAAAGGTTATAAATACTGTTTTATGAGCATTTTAAAATAAGCAGAAATTAAAGTCTACTCTTTTTTGTCTTTGAAAGGGCCTGTGAGAAGTAAAATACCAGACAAGTTACCACGCTGTCTGTCTTCAGTGGTTTCTTGTCTATGCACTGAGATGTTTGTTGCCTTATCTCTAGCAGGCTTGCAAGCAACAGGAAGGAAACTGCACTTGACCACGTCACGGCAAGTTAGAACATGCAAAGAACTGCACTTCAGAACAGTAAAAAAACAGAAATGCAACTTAAAAGCGAAAACAACTTTATTTCACAGTGCTTTAAAAATGCCTGCCAAAGAGGTTTATATAATAAATATTTTTAAAGGCAAAGGTACCACTAACAAAAACAAAAAATTAATTCAGGTATTTATCACAATTTTATTCATTATTACATTATTATGACCAAAAATGTGACACGAAAAGACAAAGATTTTTAAAGTCACATTAAAAAACATCTAGTTACTTAAAACGTCATTTATCATTTTAATATAAATACTTCATGTTTTTGTTTTTGTTTTTTTTTTGGTCTTTCCTTAGCAACAGTTCCCCACTGCTATTGAGCTTTAACAATGCTTTAATAATTCTTTTGGAAACACAAAGTAAGAACAAGCAGTCAAAATAGCTCAACCTTACACTACATGGTAATGCATCTACCTGCAGGGGTAGAAAAAGAGAATTTAGCTCTGTTTACATATATATATATGTACACACATACATAGAAGTTCACTCAAAATATGTAAGTAACTTGGGAGGCAGAGGCAGGTGGATCTCTAACAGTTCAAGTCTATATAACAAGTTCCAGGCCAGTCAGGGCTAAATAGTGAGACCCTGTCTCAAAAAAAAAAAAAACAAAAGCTAGGTGTGGTTGCATACACCTTTAGTCCCAAGCAAGCAGATCTCTGTGAGATGAAGGCCAGCCTGGTCTACCTAGCGAGTTTCGGCTGGCTGGAGACCCTATCTTAAAAAACCAAAACCATGTTGGAGAGATGGCTTAGCAGTTAAGAGCACTGGTTACTCTTACAGAAGACCTAGCACCCACATGGCAACTAACAACCATCTGTAACTCCAGTTCCAGAGGATCCGACGTCTTCTTCTGTTCTCCTCGGACACTGCATAACACAAATATACTTACAGAAATGCAGGCAATACACTCATACACATAAAATAAATAATAAATAAAATCCATAAATTTTTTTAAAAACCAAAACCATATGGAAACTATTACAAAGTTCTACAACTGGGCAAACAGTGAATAAGTGTCTGTGAGATGCCCATCCCTAAGTGACACATCTACAACTACAACGGAACCTCTTTGCCTAAGGCTTATGAAACATAGTGGAACAGGAGGTAGAGAGAATATACTAATGAATCTCTCAACTCTCTCCAGTGAAGCTTCTTCATGAAGCAGAGAGTGATTAACACAGAAAGTCACAACTGGCCAAAATATAGAGAATAAGAGTCTGCAGAGTGTGTCCCTGGATTGGACTCCTATATTAAACCTACCCACCCAGGGCTCAGGCACCATTATAGAAGAGGAGGTAGAAAGGCTGTTCTTGTTGGGCATGGTGGCGCACACCTTTAAACACAGCACTTGAGAGGCAGAGACAGGCGGATCTTTGTGAGTTGGAGGACATCCTGGTCCTACATAGTGAGTTCCAGGACAGCTGGGGCTACAGGAAGAAAGACTGTTCTTACAGTCTTACAGCCAGGGGTGGTGGATGACCACAAGGAAGCAGTTTTCCAGGCTTCTGGGGACTTACTCATATGAATTTACAGCATGCACAAGACCCATGCAAACTCAAACCAAACAAAAAAGCCCAGCATAGAACTGGAGAAATGGGCAGGAGGCCCCAACCTTAGTCAAGGAACTATTGGCAGCTGATCACTGCTGGGTGAGAGAGAGTTGCTCTTCTTTAAGGGAGTAACACTAGACAGACTGACCAGACTACAGTGGATGAACTCACAGCAAGGTACATCTTGGGGGCGGGGGTCACAATTTTGACTCAATAGACCTTAACATATATGACAGAATGAATGAAATCCAGTGTGGGGGGGGGTGCAGATAAAGGAGAGGGTCTAAATATGTGTTCTAAGAAATGCACAAAAATTCAATTTTAAAAGTGACCCAAGGCCAGGCATGGTGGCGCACACCTTTAGTCCCAGGACTCAGGAAACAGAGGCAGGTGGATCACTGTGCATTCAAGGCCAGCCTGGTCTACATAGTGAGTACAGGTCAGCTGGGACCACAGGGAAACCCTGTCTCAAAAAAGACCAAAAAAAAAAAAAAAAAAAAAAAAAAAAAAAAAAAAAGTGACCCAACCTACCCCCAAAGAAAAAAAAATAAAAAAAAAACCCAGCAATAAATATATAGATATAAATATTACATATAAGTAAACCATTTTATTGGATTTATCAGGTCTCTGATGCTCTATGGTCTGTCCTCTCTTTCCTTCTCTTCCCCTTCCCTGTTTATATATCCTTTCGCTTTAAAGTGATTCTTGAGATTCTTGAAAAAAAAAGTTCTTGCTAATCCAGAGGTATCACCTGTGCTTATCAAAGATATTTAAACAATGTATTTTGTTTTTAGTAACAGACAAGACTAGAAACCCAGACTAGTGATTCATGTTTTCATTAAATAAACTGAGGCGCTTAAACCTCACCATCTGCAAGCACAAGACAACTAACACTAGAATTCTCATTTCCAAAGTTAGAACTCCAATGCTACAATGCACCGTCTTGCTTCTAAACCAGCCCAGAGCCTCTACACTATAATAGTTTAGAAAAGATTTAAGTAAATGTTTATATCAAATTTAAGAAAAAATCTGTCTCTAGTTCTCTCCAAATCTCATCTGTAAACCATAAGTCAAGCCCATCTCAGAACCCGCCCCCCAGTTACTGTGTCTAAAATGTCCAAAACAGGTTTCATGATGTTTCCCTAAATTTATTCCCATATGGAAAAATATTTACATTAAAGCTGAAGGAGAACAAAAAACTTCTACCCTAATAAAACCTAAGATTGTCAGTAAATTTACTCTTGTTAATGTTGGGCATGGTGGCACATGGTTATAATCCCAGCACTCACAAGGCTGAGGCAGAAGGGGTTTGAGGCCATCTTGGGCTACATCTCCAGATCCTGTCTAAAACAGTCAAACAGACTAGAAAGATGGTTTAGCTGTTAAAAGCACTTACTACTCTTCTAGAGGACTCAGGTTTGGTTTCTAACTAGCAACCACATGGCAGCTAACACCTGTCCTTAACTTGTCTGACTTCCAAAGGCAACAGATATGCACATGGTGCACTTATATACATGCAGGCAAAACATAAAATTTCATACACATAAACTAAAAATCTTAAAAAAAATATCCAGGGGCTGGAGAGAAAGTTCTGCAGTTAAGAGCACTTAACTGCTCTTGCAGAGGGACCCAGGTTAGATTCCCAGCACCCACATGGCAGCTAATAACTATCTGTAACTCTAGGTCCAGGGGATCCAATGCCTTCTTCTGACCTCTGTTGGCATGACTGGACTTACATACATGCAGGCAATACATTCATACATAAAAAAAAATTTTTTTTAACTATCCAATGTTTAAACTTACCCATGAATGAGCCAAAAATATATTCAGGGACATTGCTCCTTTAATAGTTCTCAAACACATGTTTTTATGACACTAAAAACAAAAATGGGAAAATTTCTTCATAGAGTCATAACCAGCTAACTTGTTTGCAGTTTTGAAAAGTAATCCAGTTGGGCATCCAAACAAAAATTTCCAGACCAGAACTAATGTCTTTCACCTTTGGAAGGAGGTAACACAGAAATGCTTAAAATTGAGATTACTGAGTTCTCATCACCGAAACAAGCCTCACATTTAAGCCACGAGGCAAAACAATTAAGAGAAGCTGTGGCATCAAACCACGTGGGTTCCAGTCTTCCTAAGTGTGACCATGAACAAATTATTTACCTGCTATCTTAGTCTCCTCTTTCCATATATTCAGTGTTCTCATTCTGTAAAATGAGCACAATAAATGGCAGGAAAATCTAGAGTTATGAAAATCAGATGTGAAATATGTGTACAGGGAACTGGAGATGTACCTCAATGATAGAGCACTTGTGTAAAAAGGCAATGGCTTCAATCCCCAGTCCTGCTTAAAAAGAAAAAAATGCCAAGTACATGTGCAGAATGCCTGGTACATAAATTGAACTCAATAAACATTAGCTTAATTGTAGCTCTGAATATATCATGCAAAGTATGTAACAGGTGCATGTCAGATTACTAATTCCTTACATCTCATTTCCGTGATCACTGGGAGTTTTCTTTTACCACAACTACTGGCTAGACTCCAACAATACCATTGCCTGTTACCGACAAAAATTGATTCCAATGCTTTGATTTTTGTTATCTTTTTAATAAACCCAGTCATACAAAAGATAGAACTTAAATCTGTCTAACACACTTCACTTAACACAGTGTCTAATTAAGACCCTGTTCTAAACAGTGACCTTACCAATTGTTGACACAAAATCCTGG